TGTTTTGGAGTTTATATAGGAATTGTTCTGGTGCATTAAATGTCTTTTTTCTTGATCATTTGTCTATCTATGTCAGCTATATATTTAGATGTTTTACATGTTGTATGAGATGCCTGAATTGCGACATATGGTGTTGTTTATTCGCTCTTTAAGTTTCTGGTTCTTGGAGATGCACAACCAGATTTGAACCATATCTTGCAACCATAAATCATTAAATGCTGAATTTAAGGTTGTTTTGATATCTCTATTCACACATGAATGTGCATGTTTTTCAGCAGTTTTATCTTTCTTCTGTGTTCCTTTGCAACTTACATGGCTACAATCATGAATTCATTCATTTATTTATGGTGTTTTGTAATTTATATTCTTTTGCTGTTGTTCTTCAGAACCAGAGTGCCAGGATTCAGAAATCGACACCACCACCAACCACCACCGCTCCATGTGCAGGTGAGTCTCTGCAACCCTATACAAAATCCTTACATTCTACTGAAGTTTGCACCGGTGTTGAAACGGATGAGTTTTTTCTGCCATATGATGGATGATTTTGGGGTGGAAGATCAGGTTGCACCTTTGTTTTCCAGCAATCTGATATTCTATTCCAAAAATAATCCTAGAAACAGGAGGTTCCATTTTTTGTACCGCAATGCCTGCTGCTTCATCAACCACCCCTCCACCACCAATTGATCTGTCTTTTTGTTTGTTGATTTCTGGGGAAATTCCTATTATACAGGCTGCCTTGGGTTTGGGGAAGCCTGTCCTAGCCTTTGGCAGGCTGTCTTAGCGTTTGAGCAGTCTACCCCAGAAGCCAATGGTAGTGTTACCGAGCCTACTGGAAAACCGGAGTTGATATCAGAAATGGAAGAACCGAAAGATGCATTATCATCTCCAAAAGCTAAAGGTAATCGTCTTGCTAATATTAAAATTTTATATTGATGGAAATGTTTGATCATATTCCACAATTTCGCACGGGTACAATGGGCCATGTTCAACTATTGATGATGAAAAAATTGTTGTTTGTGCTTGAAATATGCAGGAAAAAATGGCATTCAAACTAAGATGAATGAATCCAATATCGAGGCACTTATGCCGAAGCTGTGTCATTCATATTACTACATGAAACCTACGATCCAGGAGCTAGCAGCCAAAGAGCGAGCGCAACCAGGTTATTGTGGTCGTGTGAAGGACTTTTGTCGTGGGGAGTCATGGTCTCGGAAGCATCAAATTTCTCGGGGAAACAGACTTGAGAGGAGTGGATCTTGAATCTTTATCAAAATCGTTCAAGGAAGAATCCGTATGATTTTGACACTCATATTCATACACTTTTTCATCCACCTTTTTGTGGGTTTATGGGTTTTCCATTTATTTAACGTTTGCAGAGTTCTTTATGATACATTGATTTTTAACATGATTCATTATTGATTAGAGAAACCGTATTATTGATAACCAATCAAGTCGATTGTGTGAAAAAATAGTAGGTTTTTGTTTTGGTTTGTGATTTTATTCAATTTTGAATACGAA